CGGGTTATTGCGATGCGAATACGCAATATCAGTAAGCTTTAACGTCTCAAATTGTTTAATTAAACTTTCACACTTTTTAGAAACCGCCTTCAATTTTGCTTTACACGCTTCTTTTAGTGAAGACTTAGATTTGCGATAAGCACGAAAAGCTCTTTCACGAGATTTGATCACTTTTCGTATGCGAATGGGATATCTGGTCGCACTTGTCCGAGTAACTACAGTACGGTATTCAAAATACAAATTTGCGGCTTCAAGAAAAATTCTTTCAAAGGTCACTGCTCGATCATTGCAGTCGCATTTCTGGAAAACAGACAACCAATCGGTGTTCTTAAGGTGATTTTGAAAGTTGTTAACGTTATTTTTATTTATTATCCACCGCTTAACCTTTCTGCGTTTTCTTTTAATTTTACATGTTTTCAGCAAAAATTGAAAACCCACATGATCATTGGTTACTAATGTGCTGGATTTATTTCTCATGCCTGCGCGAATAAATGTCTTTGCATTAATGAGTACTGGTATCGTTATTTTCAAGTCAACTAAATATGCTCTGATTAGAGCAGTTTGGCATGACACCACCGGCTTCGCATGTACGCAAAATAGCTGTTATCAGGCGTTCACTATAATTTCCGCATAATGCAGCTGCTACCAGCACAAAATTGTTTTCATAACATTTCAGCTTGCCGTTTTACAATAATTTTGAATATATGCGGTGGCGGTATGATGGAATTAAATGTTTGTCGTGACCTTTCAATTAGCAGCTGCATGCAATTTGTTTTGACACAGTTTTGACTGTGTGTTAGTAACTTAGTACAGTAGGTTAACGGCTTTTGGATTTCCTGCCCGTTACCCTGCGCGAAGTATCCACGTTACGGTTGTTCCAGCAGTTCGCAATCGGAACTGCGCTTCATCTCGGAATTTTCGGCAACCCATACATCTACCTGCTGTGTTGTTTTGTTCTGCTCTTGGGGGTTTGAGGTTGTTCCGCTTGTACGCGGTGTGTTTGTCAGTAAATAGCACTCTTGTGTATTGCATTGTTTGTGTGTACAGTAATAGAACCAGGGAACAATAATGGGAGATTATGGCAATAATCTGTATTATTGACCTGGTGACGGTAGAACGCAGGTCTGTTCGGTCTGTTAGTATTCTGAGGGTCATGCGGTATGGTACGAGTATATAGCAGCCGTTCGCAGTGTATGCTCATCACACTGCGTCCGGCAACGATCGGGATTTGAAATGATTTTTTGAGGTTGTTCGCTTGTACGCGGGTGTGTTTGTAAATAATAAAGCACCCCCTTTGTGTATTGCATTGTTTGTGTGTACAGTAATAGAACCAGGGAACAATAATATAGAAGTATCGATAATCCGATTCTGTAATGCTTTCGAATTTTGACGTACATATATATGCACTTTGTACTTGTGTTTAATTTCGCATTTGATTTTGTTGGACATTTATTTTCGCAGTTTTCCCTGACTTATTACTTTGACTTGACTTACTTTCGAAATCTACAGTATGTATATAATACGATTTTAGGCTTTTTAAATGTTAAATACAATACACAATGCACGAGCATCGAAACATCGAGAGCTACAATAGTTATGTTTGCATTAATCAGTACTGGCGATATAATACAGTCACAAGTTTGCTACAAAAGTAAACGACTATAGATAATTAATTTTATGTTATTATAAGTACAGTACATCTGTACGTTGTATCCATGGTACAGTTTGTATAACTGACCTCTACATGGGCATTTTTTTAACTTGTCAAATGTATTCTACGCCAGTTTAAACATCCAAACGCACACAAGCGTCGCACAGCATCAAAAGACAGCGGAGACATGCGGCCGAATTACAGAGAACATTTGATCTAAATTAGCCGAGGCTGGCGTCGTTCCCAGGACTGACCTCTTACTTCCTAGTACCACTACTGTACCTGTGTAAAAGTTAAAATATTGCACCTAAACGATTTATTTTGCAGCTTGACTACTACCACGATTGGCAAGCCAAGATTTTGGTGGAGCAGAAAGCTTATCCAAGCGAAAGCATAAGATTATTTCAAATAAAACCGCTGACAGATACGTACAAAGAAAAGTGAAGAATGTCCCAGCAAACGATAGAGATTTAGTAGTACTCCATCAAAAACCATCCACTAAACGGGCTACATAGCATTTCTCCGCAAAACTGGTCGAATATTAAATCCAGCAAAATACAGTAACGCAGACCTACTGGCTGCTGTTCTGCTTATGGCCAGACGGTTTCTTGCCGTCTATTCATCTTGGCTCGCGATCACTGAGCTTCTCCAGCTTGCCACAAGGATTACCAACATTCTGGTCCAGCAGTTCGTGCTTTCTGTCGGCGGAAAGGTTGGCGTACACGCCAACCGCATAAGCATCTCTGCCGTCGTGGTTTACTGGCGCCTCGTACTTGTCCTCCCATCCAGCTTTTCTGGCTTCGTCCGCATGTAACACATGTGGAGGACGACCTCGGCGTTTTTGCACTGTATCCGGAGACGTCTCTGCAGGCATTTCTTCGGAATGCTTCTCTTCAGACGTTTGTTCGGGCCGCTTCTCTTGCGACATACTCAAATACTCAACAGTCGATACACTTTGACCTGAACACACTGCGTTGAAAACGAAACGTTCACAGTTGCACACACATCAATCGTTAATCTTAATTACTTACTACTACCTGTGTTACCTTGTAATTAAGCGATTATTGACACACAGCTCTCTCCTTACCTTACGTATATCACAGTTATCCCGTACAATCAATACTGAAAACACCAGCTGTTTAGACGGATATAATACTCTTATTACGCTTTACAGAAGTAAAATAACTGAATCGCTCAATTGAATCTGTTGACAAAATCGTGAAGCACTTTGCTTTTACCTAAACACGTTCATTTAGGGTGTGATTACTTCTGCACTGCTGCAGCGAAAACGATGGGCCAACTTCCGGTGTGACATTGCTTCTGGGGAACTTCCGATGACGTTATTACTAGACTTACCCAAAATCAATACAGGTTTGTCAGTCTTTGTTTCGAGGGTATGATGTCAAAACCGGTATAATTTATTATAATGCCTCCGCGAGAAGGCCGACAATGCCAGTTCACCATTTTCTCCACTTCCAGCATACTCATACGTTTGCTGTCCGTTTAAATACGAGTACAATGCGCCCAAAGTATAAAAACATTTAACATGGGTAATTCAGGTTTAAACGCTTTTCCTAACTATGCACAGAGCATACTTTTAAATTTTTAATAATATTACTATATATATCAGCTTCAGTCTAATACCGAACACGGAATATTTCACAGTATAACACCGAACACGTATTAGTTTGTAAAATTTAATTCACACAGATTTTGTCGTACATTGTATAAGCTGGTTGGCTTCAGAGCACAGTAAGAGACAGTCTGACAGTGAAATTATACGTGCAGTATATATCGATATATCTTTATTTTGATAGAAAAATTGTGATTTTTGTACCCCCAGTCTGAATTAAAGCAGCTTTAAAGCAGCTTTACTAACGATAAATTTCAGTACTCATACAGCGTGTATGTATATTCTACATAATTTACTTTATTCAATATATCGGCACAGTAATGCTCCTACAGTCTGTAAAAAACGAATCCATCGGGAACTGGTGGAAAATTCTAAGTACCTATGTATTACAAACGCTGCAGCTGCCAACAGAAAGAAGAAGGCACCGACCGGCCTAGTATAAAGGGTGGAATTACATTACATTGGTATTAGTTTCGGCGAAAACTGCATTGCTGCTGTTATACCGACGGGAGGGTTCAACATCAGAGAGCTCCTGACAACCTACCATGCTCCATTAATATTTAAAGCATAATTGTTAAGGAAAGCAGCAATATCGCTTTTTTTATTTACTGTACGAAAAAAAGAAGTGTTCACATGGCACACCCAAGCAACAACAACAATAAGTACTTAAGTAAAAAATATATGTATTAGTACTTAGCAACGTACGGCGCACATCATGGAAGATTGAGTAGGTTTAAGTTACCCGTAAGACGTAAGTACTGCACTTGTACTTAGAATAAACTGGTCTCGCTTCCGGAACGATCATAGTGCATGTAAGTACTTACTAAGAGATTTTAATTAAACTGAGTACAGTACTTATTTCAATAATAATAATCAGAGCTGTAACAATTATTTTAAATTGATCTATACTGAGTATTATTATCAGAGTGCTTGAAAACTTCAAATTCCTGCGTAAAATACTGCGTTAATAACAACAACAACGTTCGACAGCATAATAAAAGTACGTACTTAAAAATTTATAATTGCCGCAAAAGGTTTTCGCTGGTTATACTGCAGCGATGCTTTGGTGTCATACTCTCGCCATCTGCTTACTAACATCACTGCTAATCTGCGCTGAAGCTCGACGCTTCCGTCGTTCGTCCGCCGCGCAGCCTAACATCTTTGACGATTTCGGTGACCTTTTGCCCCGCCCACAGAACCCCGATCCCAGTCCCCTCCAGCAGCAGCACGCGGATTCCGACCAGCAGGAAGCCCAACCGCGTCCCGCCCATAAACGCTCCGAAGGCTCACACATGCTGCAGACCCAGATGGACCATTTGCTGCAGTTACAGCAGGTCCTGCCTATGGTCATACAGCAGGTGCAGAGGCAGGTCACTCTGCTGCAGCAGTCGGAGAAGGATGCGCAGAAATCCGAAGAATAATGCAAAAGGTCATGCGCGGATTTTCCTTAATTAAATTGTTGGCCTAATGTTTAATACCTAATGTGCATAGCACTGATGTGTGGTTTGTTCAAGTGCAGATAATTCATAATTGACAGTATCAGGTGATTGCATCGAACGATTAAAGTGCACGCAATCTGATAATGGTACGCCAACAGTGGATGCAGTTGCTAGCAAATGCATGTGAGATCACCACTGTTTCGTTTAATATGCACCCGTTGTGTGATTCGAAAATAAACTTGGAGTAGCAATAATATTTTTCTTATGAACTGATAGAACGCTAAATAGGTTAGCTTCCAGGTTTTCAGGTTAATCCAGGCTATGCTCTTGCCTTGAAATTATGGCATCGCTCCTTGTGAATATCCCATTGATCGGATTATTTGCCTGCGTCTTTTCCGTGATTTTACTTGTACCTGCCAACGAAAGCGTGCTACTGTCGATGCGTGCTAAACAAGCGTCAAAATACCGTCCCGTTGTTATCGTACGTTGACTGCCGTACTCGTATAAGGATTATGATCATTTTGGTTAATTTTATTTGCGCAAATAAAATAATAAAATTGAAAATTTATTTTTCAATCACACGTTGTCAAGTAAAAAAAAGCAGCTGGGTGAACGTGTGACAGTGCATTAGGTACATGGAATTCTCGATCACGCATTGGAGCTCATCCATCTTCAGCTCAACATCCAAAAAGCCCATCCTGGCACGGATGTCTATCTCATCCCTTTATACCAGTATATCAAAAGTAACTGTTTTTTTCTTTTTCAAAATAACATTGCGATGCACGTTTGTCATATGATGACCGTTAATTTAAATTGCGGTGTTAAGTATTAAAATAATATTGTCATAAGACACGTCATACGTGCAGGCGCCTGGCCGATGTGGACGCAGGTCACCGGATTTGGTGACTACATCCGCAACGTATCCGATGCGCATCCGGACGGGATCATCCTCATTGGCTACAGCCAAGGCGGCCTGATTTGCCGCGCGGTCATTCAGGTTAGACCGTTAGAGCCGCCATCTGTGCAGTTTCCCGCTAATATTTGGCTGCCTATTAAAACGACTTCGACCTGGTGAACTACAGAAAATCGTAGTGCACAGGTTTATAGCTCGACAGCTGGAACCTCGAATTGGCCGGAAGTTTACGATATTACACGCCAGATAAGAAACCGTTTTGAAACAGTAAATGTTTATGTTCAAACAAATTTTTGCACATTTTTTTTTTTCATAAAACTCGGTATTTTCTTTCTTAGGAAAGCTAGGTTAGATCGTGTTTATTTTAAAGGAATCGGGCTTGCGTACGTATTCGTTTGTTTACGATATAAACATGCGACGATATGATAATTATGAAGCTATGAACTCGATCGAAATATAATTTTTCCAGTGTGCGTACACTACTGTATTAATACGCAACAACTTCATATAACGAAACAAACTGCTGCTCGTCATATTCATTTCAAAGCATTTTTTGTTCTTTCTGTTTATAGAACGATTATAATCAGGTGTTAAACATCCACACGTATATTTCCTTAGCATCTCCTCAAATGGGACAGTACGGGGACACCAATTATTTGTAAGACAATTGGATCGCTCGTAGACAATTCTGAAGTGTATAATTGATTAATTCGATCCGCTATACGTACTGTAAAACTGAACCAGAAATCACTTTATTGCAAATTCAATGACAATACTTTGACTTTTTTCAGAAGGTGAGGCATCTTCACCCCGGAATGTTTCTGTAATCCGGCCAGTGATACAGCCGGCTTCTCCTGTTTTCTTCGACAGATATTTATTCCCAAACTACATGAAAGACAACCTGTACAAGCTGCTGTACTCGCGATTCGGGCAAACGTTTAGCGTCGGCGGATACTGTAAGAATTTAACAATCTCCTTGTAAAGAAGGCATTTTGGGGAAAGAGTATGAAAAATTAATATGTGACTGTTTCTTTGATTATTGTCACTTTTATGTCACCCCTTTTCTTAAAAAGTGAACACCCCTTAGGCTATAGTCACCACCTTCACCCCTTGACTATTGCCACTCCTTTGGTCAGTTCTTATGAAAAACACTTTGTTGCTAGTTTAGCCTTTCAGCTAACTTAAGACTGCAAACTACTGGAAAGGTACAAAATAATGCCAGCGACCACTGAGTGCTGTTAGCGCGGAAAGAGGGGCAGCCGTTTGTTTATGACTCTGTAGTCTGTACCACCGGCGTCGGCACCAGTAATTAAGAAAGTCTTGAGATCAAGCGGAAACGAGGACACCGAAGTTTTCTTTCCATGCGTACAGCATCAAAGGGATGGTCATAATTGTGGACTTTTTATGATCGCATTCGCTGCGGAGCCCACTGTGAAAAAACCCTTGAAGATGTTAAGTTTAATGTTAAAAAAAATGAGCCCGCATCTTAGCGATGTACATATTAAGTGTCAATAAGCTTCGCTCGGCGCCTTTCCCTAGGCCTGCCGGTGGTGGCAGGAACAGAGTTGGAAAAGAACCGCTAGTGAAGAAATTATAAGAATAAATTGAAAGGTGGTGGCAATAGCCAAAAGGGCGTGTTGTAAGGAGTGACAATAGTCAAGGGGTGTTTATTTTATTAAAAATAAAGGGGTGACAATAGCCAAAAGGGGGTGTGAGGGGTGATAATAGTCAAAAGGGGTGCAGGGGGTGACAATAGCCATTTCCATTAATAAAATTGATTGCAACTTATTGATTGTGATCTGAATACAAAATCAAACGCGCTTACTAAATTGCAGTTAATTATTGAAAACCCGGCGAAATGGTCACAGTTTCGTACCCGATTTTTTTATGAAATTGCGACTTTTAACACTATGCCGGTTTTTTGTGCAGTGTTCAAGCAAAATTAATAAGATAAAGTTAACTGTTTAACACGCAATACATTCACTTTTTGGCAAAAATTTGGTTCAACAAAAGGCAGACCAATAGAAAAATTCACACTATATATAATTAAGTGGATTTATATTATCTATAAATTCACATTATATTATTAAGTAAAGCATGAGGGCATTTTAAAAAAAGCATAACGCGTATAAAGTGGACTCACAAAGACAAAATGGTTAATTTTATATGAAGGGAAAGATCCGCACCATTATGACCTTTATCAGTCCACCAGCACGTTCCTGCCCGTCCTGAACAACGAGACCCTGGTGCCCAGTCCCAACATGACGCTGTACCGGCGCAACATGCTCCGTCTGAAGAAGTTCATCATGATCGGCGGACCGGATGACGGCGTGGTGACCCTCTGGCAGTCGTCGCATTTCGGCTTCTACAACGAGAACGAGACGGTGGTGCCGTTCCGGCAGCAGGAAATATACCGGCGCGACTCCTTCGGGCTGCGGACGCTGGATAAACGCGGTGATCTGGTCATACTGGAGAAGGCCGGTGTGCACCATACGCAGTGGCATGTTGATCCCATAGTGTTTCGTGATCTGATCGAACCCTGGCTGAGCTAACGATAAAATTATTTGCAATGTATTATGAAGGTAGAAATCTTTTGTTTCTAAAACGGATAAAGCGCGGCATCTGTTAATTCCGTAGTTAACTTGTTGTTAACGGATTGTACATGCACCAGTAACTGTATGGTAAAATTATTATACTCTGTTTGAGTGCGTTCAATTTTTTCCCTTTGTAAAAAGCGAATTAAGAGTATTACTTTAAGGGCTTCAGCGAAGCGAATAACCCAACGATCGAATGTTAGTTACGGTAATATTCACGGTTAATGCAATAATGTACTATGTCACGGTGTTGTCGATAATGCTTAAGAAAAAAGGAGTGAAATCGCTTGCAAAATTTTTTTCTGTTTGCTTTATAAAAATTGATGTTTGTGAATTGTTAGGGGTTTTTGTACACAGTATTGAAATTTAGAATTTCATTATGAAACAGCAATTTAAACCTCTCTAATGGATTCGGGCGCATTAATCCCATGCACTACGATTTCACTAATAATTTCATTTCATTAGGCGTAGTGCAAACTCAAAGGGCACGGAAAAACACGATAATTTCATTAAGCGATAATTTCAAGAAGGGCATGATAATTTCATTAGGCGTAGTGCAAACTCAAAGGGCACGGAAAAACACGATCTCAACTGGCCAGGCAACACACAAGCCGGCAATGTATAAAAACAAATAAATACAACTAAGTATAACATCAGTCAGACAACCACAACATACGAGTAGTAACTAATAATATCATCTAATCAGACCAACGAAAAATACAGTTTAATTTAATCAGAGCAGGCAGCCTATTCCCGGCTAGGCTAACACTCTAGCAGGATCTTCAACAGGGCTGAACAGCGTAGATAAAAGATACCAAAACCTAACAACAACAAGGCTATCACAGCAATAACGTAACCGGAAGTCACCCCGCCAGTCCCTTCACTCCGCTCCACAACCGGCTGCCCCATCCGCCCTGGCATTCTCCCTCATCCACGAACCATTTCTGGACATCCGCCGCGCTTTGGCTGCGATAATTCCGCTCATGGAGGATCTCACATAACCGACACATATTGGATTGCGCCGGCTCCGGCACGGAGGATGGAGTGGCAGTTCGGGATGATAGCGCCACTCGAAGAATTCCGCGTACAGATCCATGTTGGAGGATAAACGGTGGAGATAGTCGGCGAGATCTTTGGGGAGGAAAAATCCGCGGTATTGATGTGGGTTTTGGGGGCGAAGGTCTGGCTGTAGTTAGCGCCGCCCATCACGATGGGGATGGTACCGTAGTTTAGGCCCTGCGAGGGCTTCTCCGTCACGTAGTCTTTGCAGACACTGAAAATTAACAAAGAAAATGATTCGCTGTATCTACGGTCCGACACCAATGTTCCAAATTCTCGTTTTCCTTCAGGAAAAATTTTCGACAACGTAGTTTTATATCGATGCGAGCAGCATCGGTAGATTCATTGTTTTTAACTAAGAATTATCAAAACAAACAGAGATTTGCGACGTAAGACTAAAACACTAAGAAAATTGTCAAAGATATTCGAAAGAATAATTAGTTAATTTTAAATTTTTACTTTCGGGTTAGCATCTCGACAGTAGATTAAACTTAAACTGAAACAAATGTCAAGTGTCAAATTTTTCTGGTGGATTTGCTGATACTCTGTGTTTTGATAGCGGTAAACCAGGAATTTCCATTCCATCTAGCGCCAGAGTCGATGTGAATCGTAATTAACATGCAATTGTAGTGCAGTGGATTAAATCCGTAGACAGTCTCGATTGACGACCACCTTACCACTCTGATTCATGGCTGTTAAAATTTCACAGTTTAACTTTTGTCACAGAGATCGTTATTTTTAACAGCATATTTTTCGCTTTATTGCTTGATAAAAATTTAGCAGTTAATTCACCGACTGGTTAGGCAACCGGTTAAAGAAATTACGCATAATGCAAAATATTTTCCTGAAACGCACAAACCTGTTTTCAAAAGCCAGATAAAACTTGTAGCTGGCCACAATCTTCCTGGCACAGATAAAATTCCCAAATCCACACACGCCTGTTGTGTCTCCACATTTTCCCAGAATATCCACGGGATAGTATTTCTTCAATTCGCGGACAAAGCCTTCGCGGTCGATCGGCGTGTAGCAGTTCGACACGAACCATAGCGCTTTGTTATGTTTAGCATCCAAAACCTTTTCCCCTCATCCCGACTGACAAACGGCCGCGGGGAGACATTATCCAGATAATCCCGACAAAACACATCCGCATCACGACGAAACGACCACGTTAAATTGAAGAAATGCCTATACTAAAAGGCACGCGGAATCGTAGAATTGCCTGTACCACGTTATTCCACTCGAACACATACGAACGGGGAAGTAACGGTGCATACCTGTTTTAAATTTATCACAGTGAACGGCGGTGATTCCATGAGAAATATCACATACGACTGATTAGGAAACCGAATCCCAGGCAAATCCTGAGCATCAAACTCATTTCCATGGAATATCACAGCGGAACTGGCACGCAGGTACTTGCGATCGTTGGTCAAGAAACAGTTGGAGACGGGGCAGTTGTTCAAGTTATCGCGGAGATGGTGATTCTCCTCTCCGAAATACTTGGTCCAGAACAGAATGATTTTCGTGTCCTTGGGCACATGTTCGACTGTGTAGTCTGCTACAGCTGAAGGTAGGGAAGATCGACTGCTCACTCCGTAAATTAAATAAATGAAGAAGGACACGCAAAGAATTAAAACCAAGATGCGCCACGGAGATTTGATCTGTCAAAAAGCAAAGTTGGGAAAGCACAGCTCGCACCGATTTAACGCGTAAGCAATTTACGAACCATTAGCCGTGTCTTACCGAAATTAACAGGCTCGAGCAGCGCAGCGCAACTGCGCGACCCATTAACGCGAAGCAACCTAAGAAACTCGGACAAGAAACAAAGGAATTATGGGAAGAAAACTAGGACGAAAAAAGTATGAAACACTCAAGAATAATCAACTCGCAACTACAGCTGACGATGGAAAAGCATACTGACGTTCTGGCAGCCCCCCGCGGCGCCGTATCTTACGTTATATTCCAACTGACATCACATGGCGGTTGCCGCAAACGATTTATTAAAAATCACAACGTCAAGTTTACAACCGCTACGGGCGGCTGCACTATAATTATCCACACATTAGACCGAACGCACAATGCACCCGCCCTGTATCATATTTCCCAGCTGGTTTATTTTTCTGTCCAAATTATCGCCCTCTTACTCACCCATCCGTCCACTATTATCGATCGCTGCCTCATACACAGTAAACTAACCCAAACGGGCCTGCAAACGGAGTGGGGCTGATCGTTCAAGGAGAAATTTATTCAAATTTCCTTGATTATTTCACATCCATCCACTCCAAATTCCTCCGGGCTTTCTTCCTGTTCCCGACCTCTTCATTTGCATCTCCTTCGCGCGCGATCGTTTAATTTTATTATCTCATCGATTATCCTTCCATCGATTAGTCAGACGGAAGAAATCCCGCTGGTGGAGTGTGCTGTACGCCGTTTGAGTAGTGTGCGAGATTCGTGTTTGAACATGCTGCGCGCGTTCACTCGCTGTCGTGTGGTCGTCACCCCCTCCTCCCAGGAATCCCTCACCCCGCTGAGGAATGTCGTCGCGGGATGGGTACAGAATCGACACATGTCACAGACGGTGAGTGGGGCATGCTTTGCAATGCATTTTGCCCGGGAAAACCGCTGCAAACGACGGCGAAAAAGCCAAGTACCAGAGCGCAGATTGAATGCTGTCTTTTTTGGGGGTATTAGGCTCCTCGGACCGTCACCCTGATCCCGGGCGACGGGATTGGTCCGGAAATCTCGGCCTCGGTGCAGCAGATCTTCCAGGCGGCGAATGTGCCCATACAGTGGGAGACGGTGGATGTAACGCCGGTCAAAGGACTGGACGGGAAGATTGGTATCCCACAGCAAGCCATTGACAGTGTTGTCAAAGTAAGAGGTTTTTCATAATTCTCCCCATCTGTTTCCCTTTTTAATCAATCGTTTGGATAACAATTAACATAAAGTATTCACCAACATGCTTTCTTTGCATGCTAATCAGCGGTTTTCGTAAAAAAAGTTCTTTTTGATTTTTTGAGTTGTGTAAGGCCCTCCAAATTTTGGAATTTTATCGTTTGATTTGCAATTTGCAGAACAGAATCGGTTTAAAAGGCCCCCTCGCCACTCCCGTGGGAAAAGGACATCGTTCACTCAATTTAGCCATTCGCAAGTAAGCGCCGTTGTGTGTTCGCTCGTGTTCTGCTGCTTTCTCGTCTTGTACGATTTTGCTGGATGAGCGGAAGCTGAGTTGTGTGTTCGTGTTGAACAGGGCTTTCAACTTGTACGCCAACGTGCGTCCATGCCGCTCGCTAGAAGGCTTCAAGACGGCCTACGATGATGTGGATGTGGTGACGATTCGTGAGAACACGGAGGGCGAATACAGTGGTATTGAGCATGTGGTATGTCAAAATGCTGATAACCGGATACTTGCAAATCTTGGAACTATCGTAGTGTATTGGCTGCGCAAAATTCAATCGTTCTCTTCATTTAGTTCGCTGCCAAGTGTACAAGTAATCTGCAAATTTGCTGTTATACGTTCATTCTTTTGCCATCTTAAGCGAGATTAATTTTTATAAACTGGAAACACTGGTGGTGGAAATTTCTGGCGTTGGTGGGTTGAATCGTTTTACAATTTGGCAGATAGTGGACGGAGTGGTGCAGAGCATCAAACTGATCACATTTGAGGCATCCATGCGCATCGCCCAGTTTGCCTTCGAGTATGCCAAAGCCAACGGACGCTCCCGAGTCACCGCCGTCCACAAAGCCAATATTATGTACGTAGCTGCTTTTTTTAAAGAATAAATCAGTAAAATTAATTCTGGTGTAGAAATTTTTGGTATACTGGTATCGTAATTTTTGGTATCATCAGTTCATGGTTATTGTCGTTGTAAACTTTCATTTTATAGAGTTCGAATAGTTTTGTTGTTGTCGTCTATCCTGTTTAGCACTTTATGGACAAATTGTATAACAAAATTTTCGCTGTGAGTTTATGTTGTTAAATCTAACAGTCACCTAATATTTGCTGTTCTATGTTTTGTAGTTGTATGATGTACTGTATCTGTACTGTAAATGTTTTCCTGTTTGCTTTGCCACAGAAAGTTTTGCATGCATACTGTCAGAATTCAAGTTTTTTTTGTGGTTTAATTTTGAGCGGTTAACTTGAACACCTCTCCCATGTTCAGGTGCGCAAATAGTACGATTATATTCCTCTGAAGGGGAGCCTCGGTAAAATGCTGACTGCAGCCGGAAATGATTGATGGAACTATTTTTTTGCAGGCGCATGTCAGATGGTTTGTTTCTCAAGTGTTGCCGCGATGTGGCTGAACAGCATCCTGACATCAAATTCAACGAAATGTACCTGGATACTGTCTGTCTTAACGTAAGTCCGCTGTAACTGTTTTACACTTGAATTAATAATGACATTAATAATTAAGATAATAGTTTTAATAATAGTTGCATAATAAATTGATGCATTAGGCGTTGTTTGTTGTATTGCATTTTCTTTGCCGCTTAGCATTAAATGCCATTATGCTGATAAATTGTTGTAGATGGTGCAAGATCCGGCCAAATTCGATGTTTTATGTATGCCCAACTTGTATGGAGATATTTTAAGGTGATTGGATGTTTTTATGCGTTAATGTCGTTAGTTTGGGCGGCCAGATTAGAAGTTAAATAACGGCAAAATTGTTGGTGTTTCGCAGTGATCTGTGCGCGGGTTTGGTGGGCGGTCTGGGTGTGACACCCTCCGGGAACATTGGCTTCGACGGCGCCGCCGTATTCGAGTCGGTGCACGGTACCGCGCCGGACATTGCCGGCCAGGACAAGGCCAATCCGACGGCGCTGCTGCTCAGTGCCGTCATGATGCTGCGCCACATGAAGCTCAACAACTACGCGGACCGCATCGAGCAGGCCTGCTACGCCACCATCCGGGAAGGAAAGGTCAGTGGTTTTTATCCTTAATGTTTGTGGCTTCTCGTTTGTTGGATTCGCATATTCCTTTTTTCTACATTTTTCCGCTTATTCCATATTTTCTACAGCGTTTATCCGTGTTTTTACTTTGAATAAAATAATGTACTGAAGTATGCGTCAAAGTCTTTTTGCTGCAAAAATCATGGAAGTGTAAACTGTAAAGCTACTGTTAACTGTTCGCTGTGGCTGCAAATCAACTGCCCAAAGGTTTACTTTGCCCAGAGTTTAGGATGCCACTTCACTACAAATCGTTAGGTACTAGCGCCATGGGTTGTATCATGTCGCGATAAAAAATACAATTAATGGTGTGGTTAAGGGAAATTCTGCTGTCTGTTTGGGCACTATAAATATGCGTCGGAAATTGCCGGACGTCGCTGACGATTTTTGTTGTTTTTTAACGTTTACATCTCAATCATTGTAATAAATATTACGCGAATGAATCTTTTGATGGCTTTGGCCCAATTATATATAAATTGATTAGTTGAAATTATGAACAGTTAGTTGTGGTTGCTAGTTTGTGCATTTCTGTAACTATTGAGTGTATTGTTTGCAGATGCTGACGGGTGATTTGGGTGGCAAGGCAAAATGCTCGGACTTCACCCAGGATATCTGCGAGAAAGTACAGAATATGCCCGAACCCGATCCCGACGCCAGGAAAAAGCACCGGCATTAGGGAAGGAAAAATTTCTGGATTAATTAATAGGAAAATTAATTAATTATTTAACTAATAGGTCCTAGTTTGCAGATATTTTTTGTGTTTTGTTTCCCTGTTGGAATTTTAGTCGGTTGTTTTCGGTTAACTACGGAGAAGAACACTGTGTCCGCTGTCATTTTGTCCATATTTAGTGCAGATGTTAATGTGTCGCGTTTTTAGCTGTGGCTGACAGATCTGTCTGTTTCGTGCGTGGATTTTTATTTGCTAAAAAATGGTGGTTCGAGATGAAATAAAAAGATTGGAAAGGAAATTTACAGTAATTTTTTGTTTACAGTAATTTTGAACACACACCAAGAGATCTGTAATCTGTGTGCATGTGCCCACATACTACGGTGCATCGCGTATTTGCATAATTCGTAGCTGCAGTATTTGACTTTCTGCCGTCCGCAGGTGGGAACCACGGCGACGCATATTTACCTGAAATTTCATTTTTGCGAGTTGTAATCTTCGGAAATTTCCCATGTTTCTTGTTCTGTGATCTTTTGTTTGGTTTGTGCAAATTATCCCCAAGTTATTCCACTGCAGTTAATATCCCCTGATTGTAAATCTGCGGTTTTTGCGATCCGCACGCCATCATGGGCCGCATCCATCTGGAGCACCCGGGCGGATCATCCAAACTCTTCTACTGCGTCAACTGCGACACCGTCCTCACCAACCGCCGCCAGCTGGTCAGCATGAGCTTCACGGGCGCCACCGGCCGTGCCTACCTCTTCCACCACGCCGTCAACATCCGCATGTCGGAGGTGCAGGACCGTGTGATGCTGACGGGACGGCATTTCGTGCGTGATGTCTTCTGCAAGAAGTGCTCCGCTAAACTCGGCTGGTTCTATGAGTTCGCCACCGAGGAGGACCAGCGCTACAAGGAGTCGCAGATTATCCTGGAACGGGCGCTGATTAGCGAGCGGGAGGGCACGGACTCGCCCGGGGAGGAGAATCACGGGTTTGATGGGCATTAGGATGAGTGGGGCCTGGCAAACGGACAGGTTGGGGTAAATACGGCGGATCTCGTTGGGAATCTGATTTTGTACATAGTGCAGCGATGGGTCGTACAGGGATGACGGTGGTGTGCGCCGCTTGCTTTTCTGTTGGTATTTTGTTTTTCCATTTTGATTTCTTGCTTGCGTTTCTCGAGTGTTCCTACGTGTTTGTGCTCGTTAGTGGTTAGCGAGACGATGGATAAATTGGTTTGTGTATTGGGAACTACACCACGTTTTACCTTTTTAGATGTTATAAACTGATCGAAAACTGTTCTCTGTTTTATTAGTGCAGCTGCGAGAAAAAATCAATAAAAAATGGATTTTGCTGTTGTTATGCATTTTTTAAGGAGAGTTTAATGAAATTTTTCCGTATTTATTTTGAGCACCATTTTTCTGGCACTTCCGTAGGGAATAAGTAATAATAAATTATTAAATACGAAAAAACAAAAGATCTTTATCGTTGCTGTTTTTTTAAGGAGAAATGAATTTCTTTCGTATTTATTGCCATTTTTTGAGATTTTCGTAAGAAATATTTATGTTCCGACACTGACCCAGTCACAAAACCAAACCATGAAAAACAGGTAAAAAATATCGCAACCTTCCGAAAAACCGACGCAACGCTCGTACATTAAAAACAGAAAACACCCCGAGAATTTGTTAAAATAATCCCCAATAATTCAAGATAAAAAATAACTTCCATCACGCTACGGACAGCACAAACCGGCCGCGCGGCACCATCCCATGCCGACCCAACTTCTTCCAGGCCGCCAGCCGCAAGGAGGTGCCGGCGGGGCGCGGCTTCTCCAGATTAACAGTGGGCAATATCACCAGTTCGTCCTGCACCGTCTGGCAGATGGCGGCGGTGTCCGGCCGCGTCCAGTTCATCCAGGAGTCGATCCAGCGCGGTGAGGGGAACGGCGCGGGAGGGGAGCAGGTGCTGCAGGCCGGCGGCAGCGGTCGGTGCAGCATGTGCACCATGAAGGGCGCCAGGGTGGTGGAGGTGAGGACCACGCAGCCGATCAGAAGGTAGGCGGCGGTCAGGGCGGCTAACATCTGCAGCGAGACATCCATGAAGGCAAATCAAATCAGATGGGAACGCTGGTACCATGAACAGTTACTAACACTACACCGTGAAACACGGGTATTGGTTAACAGGGCAAAAAATTTTGAAAATCGCTGGATATTAACTATTAACTACGCTTGTACGCAGCAACATGTCCTGTCACACAAGTATCCGGCTGAGAGCCTGCCGCTGGCTACACAACCGCCCCTACACTACGCCAGCCCGCTGTTCACAGGCCAACTCAATCGCAACTGCAAGCAATAAACTACTACCGAGTAGTACTGTACGAGGAGGAGCTACCTTGGCCCGATCAAAGGCATGCACCCGACCATAAACCGATCACTGCTTCCATGTGTGCAACACGGATTACCACCAGCGACGGCAGCCTGCACGCAGCAGCATGTAAGTTTAATCAACCGTTTATTATCTAATCCGAACAGCGACGAACGGTATCTCGACGAACAGCTCTCCAGTATCTCTTAAAATCTTGTCAACTAATATTCCAAAATTTAGAAAAAAAAGGTGACATGCAGATATTAATTTATATTTCTGCCAAGAGAACCATGTCAGTTTTCGTAAGTGCAGCCTCTTCTTGGCACTGTTGACCGATGTCCTGTGCTATGTCTGCGAGAAATTCCGCCACTCAAAAGTTTCTTGGCTTACAATGGAACAGCCCCTAGCAAACTGCATAAAATTTCTGTTTCCTAAATATTTTAAACACTAGTTGGAAAGTTAAAAAAAGTGAAAATAGCACGAGGTGTAAAAGGTTGAATGATCAACAGATGTGCGTGCCGTACACTGCCATCGCAGGGCGCCTAGCGGTGTACAAAATCACGTGTCAGCGTGTACAGACACGGGCACAGTTATTCCTCAGTTGAACCTACGTTCAATTAATTTTACTGTTCAAAATAATTTAAAGCTGCATACTTGCGCACTTATTTGTACGATTACGGATCCGGTTTTGCCGAGGAAATCATCAAACTAATCATAAAACTACAGAACCTTTTTTTTTAACGGCATTTACTACGATACGAAACCTTAATAATTCTATCACGGTATTACGTCGCCACATGTACAAAACTCAATCAATAAACCATGGAACAACAAAGCAAACCAGAAGTCACTGATTCCGTGGTAAAACACCGTTCTTCAAAATATTTACGCCGTATAATTATGCCTTAGGAGCGTTTTATAATGGTGTTAGTATTTTCGGTTAATGTAGTCTGTGCGATTCCGTAAAAAATGTAAATCAAGTGTGCCATCACGCCCAACTTACCCGGGTCAAATGGGCAACAAAATCATTGAGACACCGAGAATCCACCGGGCATCGAAAGCACCAGGAGATCGGAATACGTTAGATAATCACGAAACTGGCATCCAAAGTGGGTGATTCTATCACAAACAAATCGTCTACTTGATAATGTTATCACCTGATACAGTATCGCCTTATTACGTAATCGTTACTGTTAAAAAGCTCAGCGCCATGTGCGCGGTGTTGTGTCAACAAGGGTCACGTACTCGCTTTCCACGTTATGCATCATGGCATCGAAATCCGCACTGTCGGCATGAAGATTCCACTGTAAGGCATCCAGGAAGAGGAATTCCAGTTTGTTCAGGTGTTTAATCGGTATACCGAAGTCCCGCGCCCAGGTGCCGTTGTAACAATCGCCAACTTCGCCCACACTGAAAATGCGCACTTGAAATTACGATTAATTCTATAATATACTCGTACTGAAATTGTTAAGAATTTTATTTTCTGTAATCATTAATATTTATATTTAATTGTAATTATGGTTTTGGATAGTAAAAATTTCCAATTTCACTACTATTACAACTACTATTTCCAATTTCACCCACTATTTACAACACTGACTGCAAGTCAAGATGGTGGAAAAGTGTAGTGTAACGGCAAAATCCCGGCGTTGCCATCCTTAAGTAACTCGAACAACGTTTACAATGTATGTAATGCAAAAACAAAGTAAAGTAGAACAGAATCGCCAGACAACAATTTTTTGCAAGATTATAGAATATGATGATTCAGATAAAATTCAAAAACGGTAATTTAATCACTGACGGTAAAATTGTAATTTACATATCTTATAAAGATATCATAACGAAAAAACATGCAAAACAATTTTCAAAAAAAGTAATATTTACGGATTTCAGTGCCACAAACTATTACTTATCATCATAAAACTTAACCTAATTTCAGCATCCTAAAAGATCTAACACGAACTTCATTCGAAACGAAAGCAGATGAAGCAAAGTACGTATGAAATAAGGAATTTCGAAGCTTAATGAAAAATTTCACCTCATTTTACACTAGTGTAGAAAACGTCAAACCCTTTTTCGTCTGATGAATCACAATAACATGCTTACTCATAAAGAAATTTGCAGGCCGACATCAAGGAGACGATAAACAGATCCGAGGAGGTGAGAAAGTGATCGACATTCACGCTGGGATTGGCATCGTGCAGGCGGTCAATGTAGATGAGGCACAGCAGCAGCGCCGAGGGTGACACATTCTGCCGACTGCAAATTAATCAACTATTACAATCTTTGCCATTCCAAAACGCTACTAATTACTTCAAAATGACGATTTATTAAAATTATTTACGCTGTGTTTTGATGCAAGTACCACCACTAACAGCTCAAACTGAATATAAAGCTTATCAGAATGAAACAATTTCTTAAGTGAACCAATATAAATTTTGTCACAAACAAATTTTCGAAACCAGCAAGGTATATGGACTCGTAATTATCACCAACCGAATAGCATATACCGAATAAGTAAAACAGACAAAAGACAGCTTAGTCTTTGATAGATCAACCTTTTTTTAAAAATTAAATCAATTTAAAAATACAACTATAAAATATTACTGCTACGGCGATTAAAGTCTAATCGTCAATAACTCGACTGTAACTTCATTCTGCTGCGAACGTGTATTCAAAAGCGATACCCTAAGGGAAAATATCGACTAACAAAAAAAACGAATAAAAACGTTCCTATCTTTGAAAGCGCATTTGGAAAGGCACTCCATCATTTTTTTCTGTTGACTTACGCTACAGTGGCAGCAAAGGCCGGGTAGAGATGGGCGGCCGAGATATACCGCGATCCGACAACGGCAGCCAGTTCTACAAGCACCCAGCGTTTAAGTTGTCATATTTCTTGGCAATGGCGACCTTGGCGGCAACGCGCACGTGCCGCATTAATAACAGCCAGGCATAACTTGTGACTTACCTTTCCACTCATCAACATCGTCCTCCTGTCGCTTCGTAACAGCACAGTCCGAGACGCCGTTCAAGACGACGCCGCATCTCTTCATGATCGACGAACTCCTGCCAAACACGATCCCGATAGAGAAATGAGTACAATGCATGCATCAACATGCACACAATTAGAAATATATCCCTACGGTTTACTGTGTTTTTTAGAATGCGACAATTACTTTTTCCTTTTGATTAGTGATTATCACCGATGCTTTTCTCCAAAACACCAATTACCGCTTAGTGGTTTATAGAATGAGGAAAGATCGTAGTGCGATGGCTAAAATGCCAGTTAAAACGTTCTCAACAGTCAGCACAAATTACACGCAGTTCTCTCCACACAAATTAAACGATTAAAATTTTAAAATAATATTTTTATGTTCAAAAGATCTACTGTTTATTTATCACCATCATTCCTTAGAAACTGCTATTGGAATTTCTTTTGAACGTCCAGGACCAAGGATACTAACTACTGCTAAACCAATTAACTATTAGTTAAGGATAACATACCAGACCCGCGCCAAATTCTGAAATCGGTTGCCAGAAAAGAAAAACTACAGAGCAGTTACTTATAGATACTAGTTACTAGTAACTAATCTTGTCACTTGTGCCTCTTGTTAGCCTTATCAGAAGAAATACGATAGCAACAGCGTATAGCACATTGCTTCGATTTTGATTCCGTATTCATTTCAAACTTAAATAATAATGTCCAAATATATAAGACTGGTTTTAAAGAACGACAGCGCATCTGAGAAAGCCCTTTGAGGCCGTTCTATCCCAGATTCTCACCTGATCATCCTCGTCCTCATCTTCAACGTTGCTTTCAGTCGCCTCACGATGCGGACTCTTCACGGACTTGGACGGAGATTCCTTTTCCCGGGCGAGTCGTACTGTGCGTACATCCTGGCCACCGCAATCTTCTCCTCGGGGACGATGAAGGAGACCCCTGGGAGAATCCGGGGGCAGGGGAGCGCGTGGTGATCGTCGCGGGCGAGCGATCATCCTGGATTTCATCTTCGCCGAACGCCATGGCACAACGGGCGGTCGTTCGGTATCGATGAATATCACAACAATCACAGGAATACACCTGTGCCTAATTAGTAAAGTGATTTATAAGGAAATCAAACTTAGGAAGGAGATAAACAAAAGATGGGAACAAAAAGCGGAGCCATGTAGAAAATACGCTGATAACGGGTCGCCCAAATTTTTTGACTCACGAACCGACGGAAATGAGTGGGTGCAATGGTGAGCTGTTCGGTATCACATGCTCGATGTTGTGGTGAGCTGGCTTGATCACGCGCGCGCCTGATCTTGAATTCTCGATTCAGAAATCAGAAACCAGCAGGACCGCTGCTCCAGGGCGATCGAGCAGAACAGGATATTTACGTTGCGAAAGAGACATATAAATAAGCGTAAATTCTGTACTCCGTGCTCGCACTCGTTTTCTTTGTAACACCAAACTACTCTAATTGATAATTCATTCGTGCAAAATTTTACTATTTTGCACTTATGACTGTAAGCTGCATACATGCACAAGGCAGCATACTGGCCCAGACGTAGAGTATTCTGTCATCAGTAAACTGCGAGTCTCTATGGCAAACGCCCCTGGTAGTCAGTACTCGCCTAAACGGCACATTAATTCTATCTAACACGTGAATGATTATGTAAAGGCCTTGTCACGAGTATGACCGGTTGAAGTACAGTTTGTATGGATTAATTACATGTGATATTACCGGAAGGATCAGTGTGTGTATGAATCATTGCCTTATCGATTTGTATAAGTACATTGTGGACAGACAACAGACAGCAATAATCGAGTACATATGTATGGGTGCTGAGATTGTCCTATGAGAACCACAGGAAAAAGACCAAGGAAGTGGCCAGAAAGTCAACCAATTAACATCGTGTTAAGTGGACTTTATCTCTAAAAAGTGGTCGATAAAAGCTTGTCCAATGTTTTGTCTATGAGTACATATTATTTTAGAGGCGTGTCATTTGTGTGTTTTGTAAAATGCATGAAAGATCACTGTTGAGTGTGATGGAAGAAGAGCAAGTCTGAAGAGAGTTAGTTATCACCTTTCAACTGTTGGATAGTGGAATATTTTCTATGGAAGCTTTTCTATAGTCTAATAGTAGTCCAGTGATGACTGTGTTTTGATTAACTAATAAAGGTCAACGTGGTCAGGTCGATTGGTTAGCGTCGCATCTGAGTTAGCTATTCAGTAAAGGTCATTCGCCACCATAAACCATCAGTAGCTTTACGCCATCTGACATGGAGGCATTTGGTGGTGAAGTTGTGCATGGTTCCTTGCTAGAGTCGCAAATTTTATTTGTTTTAATTCGACGTGATTCAATGTTTGTGGGTGACCTTTGCCATATTGTTGCACATTGGTGTTCGGTTGATACCACCGTACGTCGGACCGGGGTTGTTTCCACACGTCAGCGAGCGAGATTCGGTTGACCACTGGGGTTTTCAGTGTGACGGCTCCGGTTTGATCGCAGCAGCAAACAAGGTTCTTTGTTTGAAGAAAAGCGTCAGCCATGATGGATGGTGTGTCAGAAATCATATTTGTCGTCTAGCCAGCATGCTCTCACGTTTCGGACAAATGAGTCATTCTGTTGTGAGGGAGCCGGGTCGTGTTGTTTTGCATGTTGCTTTATTTTCTGCATGAAGATTCTCACTTTTATCTTTGGTTTTACGTGACATTCAATGGCACGCCAGCGAGTGCTGTACAAATTGAGGTTTTTTCTTAATAACGGCGAGTGGCGTGATAAGATAGAAACTGAAGTGAGCTGCAACGGACCGCAACAGTTAGTGCGTTATGTGAGCAGTGTGTGTGCATATTTTTCGTGTGTGAGTAGAGTAGAAGTTGTCAGTTCAGATGGAACAGTAAGAACAATGTATCCACTGAATCAGGAAGTCATGCAGGCATAACGTTTAGAAGTTCTGTCTCAATCATGAATATTATTCTTGAAACTGTGGCATTTTAATTGCTCGTAACCATGATCTTGACCGGCATATTTCGTATTTGTCAACAGCTTTTGTGATTCCGATTTTAAAAAAAAAAGAGTAATTATGGAGATCATGAAAACAGCGGCGGAAATTAAGTTGCGGCAAGACTAATTAATTACAATGCTGATTACAAGTCAGTAAATAGTCTATAAATAATTCTCTTCTATTTGCTGATATCGAAGATACAATGTATTATCAAAGGCTATGCCAGATACAAGAAAGATAGCGCCTTTAACACACGTAAGTCACAGAGAACTTATTGATAAATCTGAAGCAGCTATTAAGAGAAAGAATAAGATTAAACCAGGAAGCACATCTGAACCAGCAAGTTCTTCTAAATCGGACACAAAAGATTTAAATAGCACTTTTCTGGATGCTCAATCAGATTTTTTTAATTTGCAAACTCAAGATTTTCAGCTGCGAAAAGATAGATGTAGTTAATGTGGCGGATAATAAGGCTAATGAAGAAGCATTAAACGGTGAAATAGAGACGTACAAAATTAAAATGGATGCAGAGGCGGTAAAAAATTGGCGGATGCTTTAGTAAAATTAGAGCCCAAAGATGTGGAGAAAAAGTTTCATCTAAAAGATTTACCTACATTCTCAGGTCAATCCCACGAATCTGCAGAAGAATTCCTAATTAAGTATAATCTATTTGAGAATACTTAGAATGGGATGATGACAAGTTTAAGGAAATATTTCGATGTGCTTGAACAAAGATGCTATAAAGTGGTTTACCACTAATAAAAATAAACTGCGAAGTTGGAATGATATGAAATCAGAATTCATCAAAGCATTTGAAAAAAGCGCATACGATCTAGATTTACAAAAGTTGATATTTCTAAAAACCCAACCAAAACCCTTTGGTTATTTTTTGAAATTCTGGATTATATAAACATTACTAATCCTACAGCTACTGAGCAGGAGAAAGTTCGAGTGATTTTCGAACATCTTCCACCAGAGCTTAAAGCTGCAGTAATTGAGAATAAGCCGACACTGTAGATGAATTTATTGAAAAATTAAAGGACGTCAAAAGAAAACAGCAATATTTGTCAGTTGCTGATAAGAATTTTACTAATAAGCTGGAAAAATCTTTTGCAAAGCAGTGGTAAAACGAGATTTACTTTCAGTCTCAAGAAGATAACAGTCAACTGGCGGCAAAAGTGAATCGCATGGGCCAAGAACTCAGTGACATGAATAAGCGACTAGAGGATAGGCGACCGGTACAGGAACGGTTCGAACCTAGAAACAATAATTTTGGTCGCAGAGGTAATGGACCAAACCGTAATGACTTCGGCAATAGCAGAGCTGTATTTGACCAAAGGTCTTGTTATCTTTGCGGAAGGCAGGGGCATTTAATGAGAAATTGCAGAATGAATAATACTGTAAACAGGCAATTTATGGCGGGTAACAGTTTTCAACATAATTATAGACCGAGGCCTCAGTGGGGACAGCAGGGTAGATATGGAAATCAGCCACCCTTTTATTCGTACCAACAGCCAAGGTATATGCCAATGTCGTATGAGCAATCGGCACGACCAACAATGAATAGACCGGCTTTACCTATCCAATATGTGCAGGATATACAGCCGCAACCTACTCAGACTAATGTGCCGGCTAGTTCGGCACAAGTTCCGTTAAACTAGAAGCGCCCAATGGGGGCAGGCAGTTACGAGGACGATTTTTGCCCATTTACTTACTGCGAGGTGTCGTATGTTGTAATGTTAAAGCAAATGCTAATATAGTAGCAGAGGCTGTTATTGATACCGGTAGCAGCATTTCAGTAGTTAGCGGCGAATTTGTTAGCAAAAAATGAGATAGATATCTGTTGACAGCGAGGGCCCTGCGCTGAAAATGGTAAACGGAGCCGTGTTATCGGCTACAAAAAAGTGTGAGTTGGTAATCAATATGTTAGGATGTGAATTTGTTGGTCGATGTGGTATTGGATAGCTTTCCGCATGACCTTTACTGGGTGTTGACTTTTGTCAACAACGCCTTTTGGGTGTGCTTCGATCGGGCAATTATCGTCAACGCAGAAGACCCAACTA